GGAAGAAGTGAAAGGGGTTTTGAGTGAGCTAGTACCTCAAGGCAATGGGGCCAGATAACATCTCTCCAGGGGTCCTGAGAGAGGGAGCGAGGCGCTATGTGTACCCCTAACAACAATATTCAATACATCTATCGAAACAGGGAGTTGCCTGAGGCATGGAAGACAGCAAATGTAGTCCCAATCTTTAAAAAAGGAGACAGACATGAAGCACTAAACTACAGACCAGTGTCACTGACATGTATAGCATGCAAAGTCAGGGGAAAAGATTGTCAGGAGAAGAGTGGGGGAACATCTAGAAAGGAATGATCTCATCACCAGCAGCCAACGTGGTTTCAGAGACGGGAAACCCTGTGTCACAAACTACTGGATTTTCTATGCCCTGGTGACAGCAGTAAGACAAGAGAGAGAGGGGTGGGTGGATTGCATTTACTTGGACTGCAAGAAGGCGTTTGACACAGTACCAACAAGAGATTAGTGCAAAACTGGAGGACCAAGCAGGGATAACAGGAAGGCACTGCAATGGATCAGGGAATATTGTCAGGAAGACAACAGCGGGGTAATGGTACGGGGCGAGGTGTCAGAGTGGGCACCTGTGACCAGCGGGGGTCCCACAGGGGTCAGTCCTAGGCCCAGTGCTGTTTCTGGTATTTGTGAACGACAAGAGGGAAGGAATAAACTCGAGGTGTCCCCTGTTTGTAGATGCTTTAAAGGGTGATGAGAAGAAATTCCATTCGATCGAAGACCAGGCAGAACTACAAAGGACGGGACAGGCTGCAGACCTGGTTCCAGAAATTTGGGCCCCTGGAGTTCAACCCCAAACTAAGTCCCAAGTCATGAGGATTTGGGGAAGGGCAAAGAAGACCGCAGATGGAGTACAGTCTAGGGGGCCAGAGACTACAAACATCACTCAAGGAAAAAGATCTTGGGTGTAATATAACACAGGCACTTTCCCCTGAAGTGCACATCAACCAAATAACTGTGCAGCTATGGGTGCCTGGCAAACCTCAAAAACAGCATTCCGACATCTTATAAGGAATCGTCAGGACCCTGTACACCGTGTACGTTAGGCCATATTGGAGTAATGCGGCACCAGTTTGGAACCCACACCTACCCAAGCATGAAAAGAAACTAGAGAAAGTGAAAAGGTTTGCAAACAAGATAGTCCCAGAGTTAAGAGGTATGTCCTATGAGGAGGGGTTTAAAGGGGAAATCAACCTGACAACAGTGGAGGACGGAGAGATAGGGGGGACATGAAAAACGACTTACAAAATAACTGAGGGAATTGACAAGGTGGACAAAGACAGGATGTTCCAGAGACTGGACACAGCAACACGGGGACACAGTTGGAAGCTGAAGACACAGATGAATCACAGGGATGTTAAGAAGTACTTCTTCAGCCACAGAGTAGTCAGGAAGTGGAATAGTTTGGGAAGAGATGTAGTGGAGGCAGGATCCATTCATAGCTTTAAGCTCATGGTTCAGGGAGAGTGACCTAGTGGCAACCAGTGAAGAGGCGGGGCCATGAGCTTGGACTCGACCCCTGCAACCTCAACTAGGTGAGTACAACTAGGCGAGTGTACACACACACACACACACACACACACACACACACACACACACACACACACACACACACACACACACACACATGTACATATATATTCAGTAATTGTATAATTATAACAATTTAGTTAACTTTCATAATCAAAATTATGAATTAACGGGATATTTGGTATTTCAGAGTTTGACAAAGCTTATGGTTACACCGAGTATCCATCATCACACTCAGAATTCAGAAAGAAAACTGTCAGCTTTAGCAGCACTACTACTACAGGCGTTATAAAAAAAGCTATGAGTATGAGACAGATAGCAGCAGGGCTACTGACACAGACTACTATTCTCCTGATGAAGAGGAGGAGGATGAATTTTTTGATTTGTCTCCAGAGAATGGGTTAGTACTAATCTAGAGAGAAAGCTTTCACTTTATATCAGTATCCAGCAGTTGATGGTGTGATAAAAATTATTGTTAAGTATTACAGTACTACTGTATTGTTGCAATAAGATCACAGTAAACAATACATATACAAAATAGGCACAGTAAAAAAAGTGAAATTACAAGTGCTTTTATGATTTCTCACATCAAGGAATATTTTATTTAACCCCTTAACCTTTTATCTGTCACAGCACTGATCTCCGCATCTCACTAGTGCTCTAAATGTTCAAAAAAAAAAAAAAATCATGCCTTATATCTACAAGCACAATATAATACTTTGGCTTTTTTTGGGGTTATCCTAGGTAATTTAGTGGACGAATTTGGGAGTGTTTGTAAAGGTAGAAAGTTGAAAGTGAACATAGAAAAGAGTAAGGTGATGATGTCTAATTGGGAAAGAGGAGTATGGAAGAAGTGAATGTTTTCAGATACTTGTGAGTTGACGTGTTGGCGGATGGATTTATGAAGGATAAGGTTAATCATAGAATTGATGAGGTAAAAAAGGTGAGTGGTGCGTTGAGGTATATGTGGAGACAAAAAACATTATCTGTGGAGGCAAAGAAGGGAATGTATGAAAGTATAGTAGTACCAACACTCTTATATGGGTGTGAAGCTTGGGATGTAAATGCTGCAGTGAGGAGGCAGTTGGAGGCAGTGGAGATGTCCTGTCTAAGGGCAGTGTGTGGTGTAAATATTATGCAGAGAATTCGGAGTGTGGAAATTAGGAGAAGGTGTGGAGTTAATAAAAGTATTAGTCAGAGGGCTGAAGGGGGGTTGTTGAGGTGGTTTGGTCATTTAGAGAGAATGGATCAAAGTAGAATGACATGGAGAGCATTTAAATCTGTAGGGGAAAGGAAGGCGGGGTAGGGGTTGTCCCAAAAAGGGTTTGGGAAAGGGAAAGGGGGTTTAAGGGAGGTTTTGTGGGCGAGGGGCTTGGATTCCAGCAGGCATGCGTGAGCGTGTTCGATAGGAGTGAATGGAGACGAATGGTATTTGGGACCTGACGATCTGTTGGGGAGGGGAGCGGGTAATATTTAGTGAAGGGATTCAGGGAAAACCGGTTATTTTTATATAGCCGACTTGAGTCCTGGAAATGGGAAGTACAATGCCTGCACTTTAAAGGAGGGGTTCGGGATTTGACAGTTTGGGGGGATATGTTGTGTATCTTTATAGTATATGCTTCTAAGCTGTTGTGTTCTGAGCACCTCTACAAAAACAGTATTATGTGTGAGTGAGGTGAAAGAGTTGAATGATGATGAAAGTATTTTCTTTTTGGGTATTTTCTTTCTTTTTGGGTCACCCTGCCTCGGTGGGAGATGGCCGACTTGTTAAAAAAAAAAATGATAATTGTACTTATGGGTACCTGTGTCTAAATAAATTTACTTGGTCCTTGATTCTGTTCAAGGGACATGTGTCTTTCAAGGAATTCCATTTGCTTGGTATATATTGGCTAGAAGGAAAGGCATCCCTTAAACAGAATCAATGACTAAGTAAGTTTATTTAGGCACAGGTACACATAGATAACCGATAAAATGTAGACAAAGTGCAATACTGTACTTGTAGATATGAGGCATAAACATGACAATTCAAATTTCAGGTACAGTTGTATCTTTCCACTTGTGCAGATGTAACCATTTTGCAACATGTGTATTACCTGTTCATCTAGCTGATGATCATGTTCGTGAGCAGCATCTCTCAAGAGAGAAAGAGACAGGCAGACAGAGAGAGAGAGATACAGAGATAGAGACAGACAGAAAGAGCTAGCCAGTCAGCCAGCTAGCCAGTCAGCCAACTAGCCAGCCAGCCAGCCAGACATGTATTACATGTTATAGAATTTTCTCTTTCTCTTCTACTAACTCAGAGCATTGGTGATAGGACATTCTGGCAGGATGCCACTGCCTGTGTCATCAAAATTGAAAGGATGTGGCACAAATGTTGCACATGGGTTATTATCGAGTTTTTTTAATATTTCCTGAACCACATGTGGCCACATACATCTCAAAGCCACTAAACTCGGGGTCAACATCATTTTCCTTGAAAAAGGAGTGTTAATACGACATGGCATTAGTGCATCCCTGGGGTTTACCATGCTGTTTGCTCTAGCAGGTGCTCAGTTGAACTGGTGCTCCCAAAAAGTACTAGGTTGTCCCAGTTTTTTTAATACTGTGCACACTGAGTGTTAAGACCCACTTTATACTGCCTAAGCTTATCAGGCCTCTGGTGCCAAATTTTAATGCAGGAAAAATAGTGCATTGATCTATGTTTGGAGCACTAGCAGTAATGTATAGATCAATGGTTTGACAGTTAAATAGTTAACATTGACATACCCAGAAAAAAATTCCTGTGTGTGTGTGTGTGTGGCAAGATTTAAAAAAAATATTATTGAATGAATGAAAGAGTGTATTTTTACAAATTGAATAAGGCTAGAATCATTGCAATCTGAAAAAGACTTGTGATTTTATGGTGTGTAGAAGTTGGTGAAAAAATTATCATTTGTTCGCAGTAGTGTCATAAATGCACCAGGGTTATTTGTTTTGTACTATATTGTTGCTGAATTATGATTTATTCTGTTTTTATTTGTTTTTAATGTTTACCACAATGTATACTAGTTTCTTGTGATGTTAGGTATGTTTCAACATGTTTTAGCAGAGAGGATGGAGCAAAATAAAATGGCTTGGAGAGCACATAAATCTGTAGTGGAAGGAAGGCGGGGTAGGGGATGGCCTAGGAAGGGTTGGAGGGAGGGGGGTAAAGGAGGTTGTGTGTACGAGGGGCTTGGACTTACAGCAAGTGTGTGTGAGCATGTTAGATAGGAGCGAGTGGAGATAAGTGGTTTTTATGACTTGACGTGCTGTTGGAGTGTGAGCAAAGTAACATTTATGAAGGGATTCAGGGAAACTGGCAAGCCAGACTTGAGTCTTGGAGATTGGAAGTACAGTGTCTGTGCTGTGAAGGAGCGATGTTGATATGTTGTAGTTTTTTAACCCTTTCAGGGTTTCCGGCGTTCTAGTACGGCTTACGCGCCAGGGTTATTGATGTACTAGTATGCGGGAATTCTAGCGCCTTCAAATCAAGCAGGAAAAGGCTGGTAGGCCTAGATGTGAGAGAATGGGTGTGCGTGATCGGTGTGCGCGGTAGAAAAAAATCTGGGACCCAGTGGTGCATTGTGGAATGCCATTTTAGTACACCTTGTTCACCATGCCTTGCAGTAAGAAACTCCTCACTCCTCGGCGAATTGGGACACTTTTGTTCCCCAGTGACAGTTCTAATACAGATGGAAGTGCCAGTGAAGATGAGTTTCAAGGTTTTGATGAGGTTGTGACTGAAACTAATGACCATAATACCAGTAATAGTGAGAAAAACCCAGATGACCCTCAGCCTTCCACCTCTGCTGCTGGGTCGTCTTGTTCACGTTCAGTTGTACCAGAACGAAAGAGGAAACTCCTATTTTCCCATATCCCGGACTCATATGTGAGTATTGGTGGTGATAGTGAATATGAACTACAAGCTCTTGAAAACAGTTCCAGTAACGATAGTGAAGTGGAATATTCTCCAGTGAAGCGTCAGTATATACGATGGTATATGCGCTCTGGTAGTGTGCCATATGCTATTCCAAGGTTAAGGAGTACATCTCAGAGTACATCCCATGGCTGTACAACAGGAACAGATAGTGAAAATGAAGATGATAGTGTTGCAATTGGGATGGAAAATGTGCATGGTGGTGGTAGTGGTGGTGCCAGCCATGAGGCATCAGCAGTGGGCCATGCTGCCACCCATGCCAATGTCTCAGCTGATCTACAACAAAGGCCACCATCCCCCACCCACCCACCACACCAGCCTCTGCACCAGCCTCCACAATCACAGCCTCCACAACCACAAACTCCACAACCACCTGTCAATATCCAGTACCCACCAGCAGACCGCACCTAGGATTGGCAGGAAGCTGACAATTTTGTTCCCAATCCCCATCAGTTTGATGAAAATCAAAGTGGAATACGGCCATCTTATACACTTGGGAACAATGCCACTGAACTGGAATGTTTCGAGTTATTCTTTGACAAACCCCTGATGGAACTTATTGTCAGGGAAAGCAACACATACTTCGATTACACCATGGCAAACACAATATTTTTTTTTTTTTATTATCACACTGGCCGATTCCCACCAAGGCAGGGTGGCCCGAAAAAGAAAAACTTTCACCATCATTCACTCCATCACTGTCTTGCCAGAAGGGTGCTTTACACTACAGTTTTTAAACTGCAACATTAACACCCCTCCTTCACCCCGCCTACACCAGTGTAAGGAGACAACTGTGGCTGAGATGTATCTTTTCTTTGCCACAATAATGCTAATGCCACATGTGTATAAGCACAGTGTCAAATCATACTGGTCAACAGACCGCCTGATTGCAAGCCCAGGATTCAGTGATATAATGTGAGTGAATTGATTTGTGCTACTATTACATATGCTTCACTTCTCAGACAAAACCACGCCTGACAGAAATGACAGGTTATATAAGATTAGGAATGTGTTTGTGTATCTGAAAGAGAAATTCAATATGTATTATTATCCCTTCAGGAAGCTTGTTATTGATGAGTCTTTGATTCTGTCCAAAGGAAGACTCTCATTCAAGCAGTATATACCAAGCAAGAGGAAATGCTTTGGTATAAAGTTATTTGTGCTTTGTGACTGCTACAGTGGTCTTGTATTGGATATTATTGTGTACATTGGAAGTTATACATTGCAAAATACCAGGAAGTTATTGGGCATCTCTGGTGATGTGGTTAGAACAATGATGGAACCATATCTTGGTAAGGGGCATATATTATATACTGATAACTGGTACACAAGCCGCTCACTCAGTGATTTTTTGCAAGTGAACATGACAGATGTGTGTGGCACAGGGTGTGCAAATTGTAAGCATATGCCCAGATTTGACGCTGGCACTCGTAGAGGTGAGGTGCAGGTATTTGCTGCCAATGACATCATGGCATTTCGGTGGCATGACAAACGAGATGTCACATTGTTGTCATCGGTTCACCCTAACGAAATGACAAACACTGGCAGGCAGAATAGAGAGACCAATGAACTCATTCTAAAACCTGCAGCTGTGATTGATTACACCTTCAATATGCACTCAGTGGACAAATGTGACATGCAGATTGGGTTTGCTGCTTGTGTTTGCAAGAGTTATAAGTGGTACATAAAACTCTTTCCATCTTCTGGACATTTCCATGCTCAATGCTTATAATATGTATAAGATGAGGACCAGAAACAAACCACTATATGGCAAATTTTGTTTGTCTGTCATTAGACAAATAGTATTCAAGTACCAAGGAACAACAACTGCAATAGAAAACCGCCCACTAAATTATCAACAACTACATTCTTGTCTGAAGCATGGTGATCACTTCCTAATACAACTGCCTGCTACTGCTTTCAAGAAAAGGCTAAGAAGAGGTGTTACGTCTGTGCACATACAAAAAACGCCCACAACAACGCAGAGACATGCGTTTTATGTGTGAGGAGTGTAAAACACCACTGTGCATGACACTCTGTTTCAAAGAGTTCCACAGGCTGCAGAACTTCTAGAAACATGTCCTGTGACTGTATATGTGTATATAAAATATAGAAAAATAGTAATAAACAACATTTTATACCGTTCGTTTGTGTAAACAAGTTTTGTAAACAATATAGTGACAACAGTGTTTGTGCAGTTATTGTGTAGTAAATGAAGAGAAAAAACTTACAAAATAGTGCTCATATTGGTCTCACAGGCCATAAAAGTTACTTGAAAAAATAAAATAAAAAATAATAGAAAAAAATAGAAAAAAGTAAATAAAAAAAATACTGGGTGACCGGCAGTCGGCGATGATGCCACATGCGGCTCATTTTCTGTTAACTTCACGCCTCCATATCTCGGTAAGTATTGATGGCAAAAAAATTTTTTTAGCCTATAATGTTTAGAAAAAAAACTATCTTTTCATAAGAAAAAATAATTTTTTTTTTTTTTTAAATTTCTCGACCCTGAGAACAAGTCTGGGAGAGGGCCTGTTGACCCTGAAAGGGTTAAATGTAATGTAGGTGCACCTCTGGCAAGAGAATGATGGAGTGAATGGTGATGAAAGTGTTTCTTCTTTTTTGGGTCACCCTGATTTGGTGAGAAATGGCTGATGTGTTAATTAAATATACAGTGGAACCTTTGTTTTTGTGTGCCCTGGTTTTTGTAAAATTCGGTTTTCGACCACTTTTTTCGTCTAAATTTTGTCCCAGTTTTCGTATATCCACTCGGTTTTCATAAAGTTAACAGTGGTCTGTACCAAACATGTCCGCCTGCCTGTGCCCACACAAATCATCCCATGCGTTCTGACTCAGTCTGGCGTTGTTTCTCATTGAGTGAACATTACCCTGCATATTCGGATAACACTTTGTAATAATCAATTGTTTTTTGTGCTTGTTCATTGAGTGCGACTGATAAATAAGCCACCATGGGGCCAAAAAAAGTTACGAGTGCCAGCCCTTTGATAAAGAAGGTGAGAAACATGATAAAATTCAAGAAAGAACTCGTAGCAAAGTACAAAAGTGGTGTATGCATGGCTGATCTCGCCAGGATGTACGGGAAGTCCACATCAATGATCAGTTCCATCCCGGCGAAGAAAAAAGAAATCAAGGAAGCTGATTTTGCAAAAGGGGTAAATGTGCTAACGAAACAGAGATCGCAAACAATCGAAGATGTTGAGAAGTTGTTGTTGGTGCGGATCAACGAAAAACAGTTAGCAGGAGATAATGTTTTGGTGGAAGAGTTGGTGGACAACCACAGGAAAGAGCTAACCACTGAAGAGTTGCAAGACCTTCAGCTGGAGCAGCAACAGACTGCAGCTGGGGAAAGTTCTTCAGAGGAGGAGGAAGAGAGAGGGAAGAATGTGCCTTCTTCAGTGATTTAGGACATGTGTGCAAAGTGGAATGAATTGGAAAGTTTTGTGGAGAAATATCACACTAACAAAGCTGTTGCAAGCCATGTCTGCAACATGTTCAATGACAGTGCCTTGTCCCATTTTAGGCAAATCTTAAAGAGATGCCAGAAACAGACCTCTCTGGACAGATTTTTTGTGTGACAGGGGTCCAGTGCTCTCAAACTGGTCCTAGTGCCAGTAGAAGACAAAGAAGGAAAGTAACCCTGGATAATGCCTTGATACCTGAAGTCCTTATGGAGGGGGATTTCCCTTCCAAACAATAATCTCTCCTCCTCCCTCTCCCCTCCTCGCCATCTTCCATATGCCAACAAGAGTCTTTGATAAAGATAAAAGTGATGTTAAATGTTCATTTATCCATTTCATTAGTCATTTATATTTATTTCTCACTATTTTCTATATGTAAAATTATAGTTATTCTCTATAAAATGTATTTTTTGTTAATATTTTTGGGTGTCTGGAATGGATTAATTGGATTTACATTATTTCTTACGGGAAATATTGCTTCAGTTTTCCTACAGTTTGGTTTTTGTCAGACTTTCTGGAATGAATTAATCATGAAAACCAAGGTTCCACTGTATTAGGTTTGAGGGATTTTCCTAGGTTATAGAAATACTCTGAGTAAATAACTCTTGTGTGCCTTCTAGACTACTGTAAAATATATATATACAATAAAATCCTATGATATTACAATTGTTCCAAGGTGAAATACTACTCAAAACATGGAAATAAGTTACATTGTTTGAAAATGCTTATAGTTTACAATTATAATATTTTGCAGCAAAGAAACAATCACTTATGGAGATGGCAGCAGTGAAAATGGGCAACTGGCATCTTTGAGTGTTGAGAAGAGTCATATTTTCCATCTTTTTGAGCAGGTGGATATGCTTAGTGATGGAACAGGAGATGAACAAAGACAAGCATTTAACTTGCTTAAATGTGAGGAACTAAAAGTAAGTAATTATTTATTTCTTCATCTAAAATACAAAATAAATTGCAGGTTTTATGAGCATATTTTAGAATGCATAATTTGTTTTAT